TTCTTTTTTTTTCCCCCAATTTCGATGGGTTTGATATAATATAGCGCCCTTTATTTCAAATAAAACAAAAACAAATCCAAACCCCCCAAATAAAAAAGAAGAAATCCTTTGTATTTTAAAAATATTTTTTTTTTTAAAAAAATATGTTAAAACCAATAAATTAACTTAACCAATCCTTTTTTTTTTGAGGTTTAAGAAAAAAAAGGAAATACATAAATTTTTGTGGGGGAACCTTAAAGGTTTTTTTTTTTTTTTTTTAAAATTTTTTTTAAAAAGAAATACTGTTATTTATTTTTATTTACTATTCCCAAATGGTGGTGGTATTGTTTTTTATTTACCGGTGGTTTTTTTTTTTTTTTTTTTTTTTTTAAATAATTAAATTATTGTACAAAGAAAAAAAACTTTTTTGAAAAATTGAGTATTAGATTAATATGATGGAGAGTCAAAGAGAGAGTAGGTTTTCTTTGAACCGATTTGAGTGCAAGTCTTTTGAAGATCGGTGTATTTAGTATAACATTTTGAAAGACCTCTTTCTTGACATTGAACAAGGTTGGTGAGGTATTGATTCCAACAAATTTCAGATTTTAATTTGGCAATAGATGTATCTTTGAGAATACGACATTCAAGACCGGCTGGACCAGATGGACAGGTGACAAACATCATGCATGGTGCAAATCTTGAGACGGATGTTGAGAATGAATCTAAAATACCTCTAGTTTTTTGAATTTCTAAAATGGTTTTATCTTTGATTGGTTTCTCTTTGATTGGTTTTTCGATTTCTTCAGTAGTACTTTCAACATTTTTATCTTTTTTATCTTTTTTATCCTTTTTATCCTTTTTATCTTTTTTATCTTTTTTATCTTTTTTGTCTTTTTTGTCTTTTTTATCTTTTTTGTCACCTTTATCTTTTTTATCTTTCTTATCTTTCTTACCTTTTTTATCGCTCTTTTCCTTCTTTTTGTGTTCTTTCTTTTGTTTCTTTAAAGATTTCTTTTCATTTTTTGATAATTCTTTGGTTTCTTTTTTATCTAATGGCTCTAATGTACTGAAAGCCATGGCACTAAGATTAACAAACATCTTGGCAAAGAATGCACAATTATCTAATAATGATTGCTTTTCCATTGATTTGAATGGTGTATTTTCTGGTACAATCCATTTTGAATAAAGTTTAACAGTTTCAGCATTATCAGCTGGACTTTGAGCAGCAGTGAGAGTGTTATCTTTAATTATTTGTTCTGGGTTACTATTATTATTTGATTCTGACATTTTATGAGAAATAAATTATATATATAATATTAAAAAAAAAATGATTAAAAAAAATAAAAAATTAAAAGGAGTGGATAATTTAGAAAAAAAAAAAAAAACAATAAATTTATAAAAAAAAATATAATAAAATTTAAAAAAAATTAAATAAAAATTAAATTATTTTTAAAAAAAAAAAAAAAAAAAAAAAAAAAAAAAAAAAAAATCAATGGGGGGGAACCTCCCCCCAGTTTTTTACAAAAAAAAAAATGATTATTTCCATAATTTTTAAAAAAACTTTGGGGTTGAAATTGATAATGTACTTTTTTTTTTAAAAAAGATATATGTATTTAATTTTTATAAAATTTTATTTTTTATTTTATGAAAAAAATTTTAATTTCAAATAAAGAGGTTATTATTTTTATTTTTTTATTTATTAAAAAAATGTATAAAAGGAAAAATTATTATTATTATTAAAAATAAAGTTGGATAAAATATTGGATTTAATTTTGTTGAGGAATAACCATTTCCGTTATTGCTGTTATTATTTCCATTACTATTATTTACATTTAGACTATTAAAGTGATCATTATTTTTTGAAGAGTCAAAATAATCTATAAATTCTAAACCTGTAGCAGCTTTTTCCAATGGGCCAATTGTTTTAATTAGGACCCCAGTGGAAGTATTCCAAATTCTAACAAATTTATCTTCACCAGCAGCACCTAAAAACTGTTCATCAGGTGTTAAAGATATACCCAGTTTTAAATGACTATTACAATTGAATGGATAGTCTAAAACCTTTTTATTGATTCTTCTATCCCATTTCGAAATCGAACCATTTAGAGATGAAACAATAAGGTAGTTATCGTCCAATAGAGAGTTTATTGAGGATATTGAGCTGCTGTGATTGATTCTATCCTTTTGTATATTTAAATTAATTATAGTTTGATTATTGCTATTTGGTGCTGTTTTTGTTCTTATATCCACCATTCTAATAAAACCATCTCTTGAACCATTAAATATGGTGGTACCGTTTCTATTAAAATCCTGTGCCAATATATCACTTTTTGAAAGTACTTGATAATAATTTTTGTGACAATTTAAATCGTATATTAAAAGTTTGCCTGAAGAGCCTCCTATAGACACTATATTGTCGTTCGTTGGACACCACTGAGAACACCATATACTTGATCTAGAAAGAAATAAGTTATCCAATGGTATTACGTCATATACTAATGAATCGACTCTAAATATATTAACAGAACCTTCTCTTTGATGATCACCAAGTGTAGTTACTGACAATAGATTTGGCACATTCTTATTAACTCTTATAGAAGTGATATTTGAATATAAATCGATGGATAATGAGTGGTGTTTTGATATTTTATATTCTTGTTCATAATTTAACTTTTCGTTTGAAAAAAATGTATTTAATCTATCACCATCATTGTTATCAATATTATTTTCATTATTTAAAGGTTGATTATAAAATGTATTTAGCCAATCGATATTTAAAAATGTGTTGCTACTGGAAACAATACCTTTAGTGATTATGCTTTTATTATTGTCATTATTGTTGATTTTATTGCTATTGTTATTATTAACTATTTGATTTATATTATAATCGCCAAATAATGAAATATTGGATATTGAAGAGCTACATGGAATATTGACATACTGTTTTAAATGATCTTTAACCATGATATTTTTTATATTATCATTATAGAACCCATTACTCTTTGTATTTATTTCTCGTATTTTTAATAGATCTGTTATATTATTTTTTTTTTTCTTTTCATTGGCTGTGCTGTTTGATTGATTTAGTTTGATAGGTATTTCACTTTGTTCCTTTTCTTTTTTCTTTTTTTCCGTAAGTATTTTTTGAAATTCTTTTGTGATCTTAAAATATCTATCTTTTTCGACGTCATAATAATATCCTGGGTACTCTCTTATTTTTGGTGGGGGTTGTATACTATTGATTGATGTGGAGGTAGATGTTGTGGTTGTGGTTGTTGTGGTAGTAGTATTTGCTTTGTTTGAGGTTACGGCAGATGATGTATTATCATTTAAGCTTGGTATTGATGAGTTTGAGTTTAACATTAATAAGGGTGGTGTTTTTCTACCGCTATCGTTTTTGTTATGAATTTCCTTTCCTGTTGTATTTAGTAAGCTAACTGAAACAAGAGGAGGGGTGTCAATATATTTAAAATTTTGCGTAAAATTATTATTATTAAGATTTTTTTTTTTATTACAATAGTTATTATTCGTATTTGTATTATTATTATTATTATTATTATTGCCATTAGTGCTATTGTTGGTACTATTGGTATTGCTATTTAAATGAGAATGTTTTTGTTTATTTTTTTTTCTTTTCTTTTTATTGTAATTGTTATTGTTGCTATTATTATTTTTATCATTGTTATTGTTTTCCATTTTTAGAATTAAATATTTAAATATTAAAATTAAAATTATATTAAAAAAAAAATGAATGAAATTTAAAATTTAATTTAAGTCCTCATAGAGATAATTATTAAAAAAAATGAAAAAAAAATTTTAAAAAATAGATTTAATTTTTATTTTTTTTATTTTTTTATAAATTTTTTCAAAATTTTTTTTTTTTTTTTTTAATTTTTTTGTTAAAAAAACATATCATATCATTTGTTTATTAGTTTGTAAATTTATTTTAATTAAAATTTCCAAATCCATTCTTTAAATAAGACTGTTGTATCTAATAAATATATATATCCACCCAACATCTATTTTTGTGTTTTATATATATTTATATTATTTTTGTAAATAATAAAATTCATATTTACAAAAAGAAAAGTAAACTTTCTTAATTTTAATTAAAAGAATGAGCGGAAACCATAAAAATAGACAAGTTAATAAAAATGTTGATACAATCGATGAAGAGTCAACTAGAAAAAAACAACCAGTGGTTTATGTAGAAGACCCACCCACCCCACCAAGATGGTTTTCTTATGAATTTATTTTTTACTATATAATTATTGTAATAGGTTATTATTTAGTATTTAATATGTTTTTAAATAGATCGAATGGTATGAAATTAAAATAATAAAAATAAAAATAAATAATAAAATAAATAATTAAAATAAATTAAATTAAAACAATAAAATAAAAAAAATAAAAAAATAATAAATTTAACCCATTTACATTACAAATTTTATATTTTAAATTATAATAAAAACAAAAAACAAAAAATACAATATATAAAAATACTAATAAAATTTATATTTAATATTTTTAGAATATAATAGTGGACTAAAAGAAAATAGTGGTATTGTTGATGGTTGGTTTTTAGATAGAAAACAAGATCTTTCCGATACTCAATATAGAATATACAGATCAAACTTTCCACTACTCTCAATTGGCTTAACAATTTTTGTTTTACTCAGTACATTAATCCGTAAAAGCTTACCAGTATGTAAAAATTTTAATTATAATATTAATAATAATAAATAATAATTTTATACTTTGATATTAATTTAATATTTTTTTTTTTTTTTTAAACTTTAAAATAATTTATTTATTTTAGGAATCATTAACAAATATTAGAATTTTATTTTATGATATAATTTCAATTGGTTTTTTAATTTATGTTCATGGATCATCAAGTATCATAGTTTTAATTATAGCCTTAATCAATTTTGGTATCAGCAGACTATTTGATCGTTCAAAACTATTACCAGCAGTAACATGGATATTTAATTTAATTATTTTATGGACATCTTATATTTATGAAGGTTATCACTTTTCAACATTATCACCAATTATCGGAGAATGGGGTGCATGGTTAGACCAACATAATGGTTTCCTAAGTTGGGAAACCTATTTCAAAGTTTCAATGCTTCGTTTTATCAGTTATAACAATGATTACTATTGGATGAGAACCAAACGTCCAGTCCCAGAAACTAAAGGTAGAAATGCATATTTTATAGCTCAAGAACGTCATGGACCATTAGATCACTATTCACTATCACACTTTATCGCCTACATCTTTTATATTCCCCTCTATATTGCTGGTCCAATTGTAACATTTAATGCATTTGTAGCTCAAGTCTATAATCCACAAAAAACCCACAGCTTTAGTGATATAGTCAAGGCCTCCATAAAGATTCTCCTTGTATTTTTAAGTTTAGAAATTTTCTTACACTACTGCTATTATCATTCATTTGATAAGAGTGATGTCTGGATGTCATTTAGAGGTGCCGAAGTTGCTCTTACAGGTTATCTCGTCTTAAACTTTATGTATGTCAAGTTCCTCATCATCTGGAGAATCTTTAGATTATTTGCTTTGTTTGATGGTATCGATACACCAGAGAACATGAACCGTTGTGTTAATAACAACTATACTTTCACTGGATTCTGGAGATCATGGCACGGTTCTTTCAACAAATGGACTATTCGTTATCTTTATATTCCATTAGGTGGCAAGAAAACTCAAATCATGTCCATTTGGGTCATTTTCTTCTTTATTGGTCTCTGGCACGATCTCTGGTGGAGCTGGATAGCATGGGCCCTCTTAAACTGTGTTTTCTTCTCTATTGAAATTGCAATTATGTTCTATTTCTATCATCCAAAACGTTTATCTTTACGTCGTAAATGGTACTGGAGATTCATGGTTGCCGCTGCTGGTACTTTCAACATCTTTTTATTAATGGTTGCAAATCTTGCAATTTTACATGGTTTCGAAAATTCAATTATATTTATTAAAAATGCTTTCTTTTCCGAAGGTGGTTTTGTAGCATTTATTTTCGCCTATGGTTGGTTATGGTGTGGTATTATGATGATGATGGAAATCCGTGAATCTGAAAAACGTTCAAAAGAAATAAAACCATTTTAGAATTCAACAACAGCAACAATAATATTAATAACAATAAAAATAATAATACTTATAAATTAGATAAATAGTTTTTTTTTAAAAAAAAATAAATAGTTTACAATTATAAAAAAAAACTAAATAAAAAAATAAAATAATCAAATAAAATTTAATAATTTCTTAAAAAAAATTATTGAATAATAAAATTACCTAATATAATATAATATTCTTTTCTATATAGTTTTATTTTTTTTATTTATTTTTAATTAAATTTATTTAATACATGTTGAAAATGTGGTTTATTTTCGATTAGTTTTTGGAATTCTTTTTTTGCTATTTTTACATGAGTAAATAATAATTCTACCAATTGAATATTATCTCTCGAAATTAATTTTTCAAATAATTTTCTAAATAATTTATTTGAATCTGATAAAAATTGATTTGATTCTATAGATTTCAATAAATCTTTATTTGAACATAAATATTGAAATGGTTCTAAACTGATGCAATCCTCCAAAAGTGTAAATAATAACTCTCTGTTCTCTTTAATTTGGTTATCGATGCAGTATTTAATACACTTGGTGTTGAATGATCTTTCAAAGAACCAGATTTGAGTGGTCGATTGAAGTGGGAATGAAGGGCCAATAAAATTGAAATAGTCTTCATAACGGCCACAACTTGCTAAACTATTTAATAAACCTTGAATGGTTAATTTAATATCAATTTCTTGACCATTGGCTGCGTTGAACTTTAACACAATCTTATGGCTATAGCCGTGCTCTTGCTGTAGCTTTTTAATTTCTGTTAAATTTAAATTTGAATTTGGCAATACCTTGTATAATATTTCTTTATAGTTTTTAATATGACCATTCAATAGAGTTGAGATTCTAAAAAGCTTTCCGAAATTAATTTTTTTAAATTTACCGCTGTTGATCAAGTTGAAAACTATATCTTGATAGTCATTATACCTATAGTTTATTAATATGGAATAGCTTGATAATTTGAAAGTATCTGAAAATTCATAAATTGATGGATTGTTAACTGCTCTTAATAGATTTTTGAGTTCATATCCAGTGGAGCCGACATACATCGATTCATCATAATTATCTACATATAATTTTCTTCCCAATGACTTTACCAACTCTTCATAATACTGCAAAATTGCTGTATCGGTGAAAAATAACCAGTTTTGATTTTCTATTTCTTCAAAGAATTCATCTTGGTAATTGCTCTTGAAATAAAAGTCCAAAATCTCTTTGGATTTAAGTGACTTAAAGAAATTCTGCATGTGCGGTGAACCGCTGGCCAATAAGTTTTTGACTGGATACTTTTTGAAGGTGTCTTGAATGATTTCTAAATCGTTTGTTTGAAAAATAAAACCAAATGAATTGACATTGTTGTCCTCTTGGTAAACCTGTTTGACATATTCAATTCTTTCGCTCTTATTATAAACATTGCAAAATATGTAGTCTATGTAATTTCTTATTTTAAGCTTTCTTTCTTTAAATACTTGATCAATTCTCTTTTTGCTCTTAAAGTAGATATAGTGGTTCAATAGTTTTTCCTTTGGTTTTTTTGAAACTAGCTTTAGAATTTTATAATACTTGTAAACAATTGTTTTGAGTGGCATGCCTTCACCTTCTGATGGATAACTATTTGGCTCGTTAAATAACAGGTGATCCAAGGATTGGGACAATTGATCCTTTGTAAATTTAAAAGCTGATACCTCTTGTAGCTTTACCTCAATTTCTTTAAACTCCTTTTTATTTAAAAATAAAGTTGCTATGGAGTTGCATAGTTTGATCAAATGTTTTAATTTAAAATCTTTGCTGAAAAAGGTTGTTGATGTGTCAATTTTGAAACTGATTTTTGAATAGTAATTATTTGATTTTAAAAAATTGTACATTTTAAAGCATCTATAGCTGGAAATAATGTAATCTTTTTTCTTTATTTCTAATTTGTATTTATTTTGAATATCTTCTTTTGAGATATTAAATTTTTTTAAAAAGATTTTGAAGGCTATAATATTTCCATCCCTGATTATATTATCCAGTGACTCTTCAACTTGCAAATAATAAAATTTGACATATTTTGTGAATAAAGTCAAATAAAACTCTCTGTTTTCTCTTGTGTTTTTTGTAATCAATTGATATAGGTCGAAATTTAATTCATTTGGTCTAATTTGAAAATAACTGTTACTTTTTAATTTGTCTTTGATAATTTCTACTTTATTACTATAATATTTTAAATCCTCTGTGCATACTAAATTGTCGTAGCCATACGATTTATTAAATTTAGAGAATGAAAGTACTTTGCCGAATAGAAATTGATTTCTTATTATTTGCCAAAATAGTATTTCAAATTCAGATATAATTTTATCTTCATCATTATTATCATAATCATCTGGATCTTCATCTGCAAATCTAACACGTCTTTTTGCTTTTAAATTTTTATTATTACTATTATTATTACTATTGTTATTATTCATTATTATACATTATAATTTTTTATTTATGTGAAAAAATTATAAAAAAAAATTTTAAAACAAAAATAAAAAAATAAAAATAAAAATTATTTTTGCAACTGAAAAAATAATAAAAAATAAAAAAAATAAAAAAATAAAAAAATTTTTGTAAAAAAAAAAAGATTTAGATTGATTTCGATGGATTCCAACTTATTGTAAAAAGTTTTGGGTTGTGCATGAAAAAAAAAAAAACTTTTACATAAAATTAAATATCAAATTTATTGATTCTTTGCTAAAACTGAAGCTATTAATAAATAAATATAAAATGTTAACAAATGGTTTGCTCGTGGCTGGGACAACCACCTTTAATTTTAAGTTCTGAAGGAAAGCTCAGATAATGCATGTATTGTTTCCAATTTAGCTTGAAGGCTCAATTTTTAGATTAACTCTTGTGGCATTCATCTCTATAAAATTCTATTATTGAAGTAATTAATGAATGCTAATTAAAAATTTTGATATCAAATACCCAGTCTTTTTAATTAGAATAATTATTAATTTTGAAAACAAAATATTCTTTTATAGATAGGTTTTTTCTTTAATTTATTAGGGATCAAGTGGACTCTGCGCGAACGCAAATTCCACCACTTGATAAATTAGGTTGATGAATTTTCTGTATAGAAAATCATACACAGACCAAACCGGAGTGCTATGGTCTAAAATCCATGCAAAATATAAGCCTGATAGTGATCACTTATATTTTCAACCAGGTAAGTATGAATTGTTTGTCATCTTCATTTTTTATATAAAGACATTTATCAAGTAATGTAGTTATGGGTTATAAAAAAAAATTAAAAATAATATTCCTTAAAAAAATTAAAAAAATTTAAAAAAATTATTTTTATTTTTTTTTAATTTAAAATTTTATTTTTTTCATTTTAATTTGCTGCATGCAAAACAAAGAGAATAATAGTTTTGTTAAATTTGCAACATAACTCTCAAATTTTTAAAGCCACTATTCTAAAATATAAATACAGTAGTTTAGACTTTAACAGATAAACCTATCTCACTCTAAGCACCCATATATGAATGCTTTCTTTTTATATTTGGTTCTGAGAATAGTAATTGTCAGTTTTAGATTTATCAGCATCATAAAAATTTGATTTCATCATTCAAAATCGCTAAATTAAATATGTTTATAATGATTAGAGTTAAAAAACAAATTATTATTTTTACTTTCATGTTTGCTTTCAATGAAATTAAATGATGACTTGAATTTTTATCATTTTTTCCTTGATAAATGATGAATTTTACCTCTAAACAAGTATTTAGTGAATTATAATAATATTAAATAGAGAAATAATAAAGAAAGAAAATAAAAAAAATAAAAAAATTATTTTTAAAAAAAATGTTCATTTTTTGTGCTTTGATAAAATTTTATTAATTAAAGGCAAAAATTAAATCTTTTTTTTCAAAAAAAAAATTAAAATATTTTTTATTCCCATAACTATTAAATATTACATTTGATTTTAAAAAATAAATTTATGTGTTAAACAATTCATACTTACCTGGTTGAAAATATAAGTGATCACTATCAGGCTTATATTTTGCATGGATTTTAGACCATAGCACTCCGGTTTGGTCTGTGTATGATTTTCTATACAGAAAATTCATCAACCTAATTTATCAAGTGGTGGAATTTGCGTTCGCGCAGAGTCCACTTGATCCCTAATAAATTAAAGAAAAAATATATTTATATATAAAATATATTCAAACCCCACAATATGAATATATAGTTAATGAAAAACTAAATCATTTATAAATACATAAAAGATTAAAACAAAAAAAAATCCATAATCATCATAATTATATGTTAAAGAGGTTGATTATATCACAAAATATATTTTAAAGTCACCATAAATATCTATTATTATTTATTTTATTATTTATTTTATTATTTATTTTTTTTTATAAAAATTAATTATAAAATAATTATTAGTAAACTATTATCATCATAATTATTCGCGAAAAAAAAAAATTTTCATTTTTATTTATTTTAATTTTTTTTAATTTTTTTTCTTTTTTACTTTTTTTTTTTTAATTTCATAATTAATAACATACAATAAAATGATGAACTTTAATAGATTAATATTAAAAAACAATAATAATATTAAATTAATAATTAAAAATAGTTTTCTTACAAACAGGGTTACATTTACAAGTTCAATTAGAAACTATGGTAGATATAATAGCTCAACAACTACAACAAATGAAACTCTCTCACCAAGACAACAAGAGATTAAATCAAGAATGTCAAAAGAAGAATACGAATATCATCAAGAAAGAATGAGATATGAAGAAGGTAAATCAGATTTGGTTTTTAATAAAGATTTAAAAGCAGAAAAAAAAGAACAAGAATTAAAAGAACAAGAGAAATATTCCACCGAACCATTAATCTATGATGTATCCATGAAGAACTTTAATGATGTAACTATGAATTCAAAACCACCAGTTATTTTAAATTGTTATTCAAATAAAGGCGATTTATCAAAACTATCAAACGAAGCATTAGAAGCATATGCAAAAGAATATGCAGGCTGTTTTGTTCTTGCCAAGGTAAGTTATTATTATTATTATTATTACTATTATTACTATTTATACTATAATTATTACTAACATTTTTATTTTAAAAGTTGGATGTCGATAGTAATATTGAAATAGCAGCAGAATTAAAAATTACAAAGTTACCAACAATGTTTGTTATACATAATCGTGAAGTTCTTCAACAATTTGTTGGATTACCAAATCACGAGGCATTGGACGAGTTAATTCAAAGATTGATAACTCTATCAGGTGGATTAGTTAATGGTAAAACTATTGATCAAAATCAAGCAATTGCAGAAAACTATATTAGATCCAATCAAGATGACAAAGCTCTCGAAATTTATAATATGCTTTTAGAAAAAGATACAACACAATCATTTAGAACACTTTTAGGTTTAGTCCAATGCTATACTAATTTAAATAATGAAGAAATGGTAAATCAAACTCTTTCAACAATTAAAGAAAAATTCCCAAATGAATTAGATCACAGAAAAATTTCAATTTGCAAAAGAATTTTAGATTTAAAAAAAGAGGTCTCAAAGGCAGTCGAACAATACAAAAATATCTCAGTCTCTGAATTTGAAAATAAAATCAAGGAAAATCCAAACGATAACGATTCCAAATACGATGTTAGTCTTTTATACTATCAACAAGGTCAATATGAAAAAGCCATTAATCAATTATTAGAAATCATAAAGTTTAATAAAAAATATACTCGTTCAAATGTCCCAGATAGTAATGATTCTGCTAAAAATTTATTAATTAAAATTTTTGAATCTTTAGATAACCAAGATCCTTTAGTTATAAAATCAAGAAATAAATTAAATAATATTTGGTTTTCATAAAAATAAAAAATAAAAAATTAAGATAAAAATATTATAGTTTTTCTTTATTTCTTTCTTTTCTAAATTTATTATTTAAAATTTTAATGAGCTTACATTGTTTATTTTAAAAATAAATAAATAAATAAATAAAAACACAAACACAAAAATAAAAATTAAACTTTTTTTAAAAAATAATACAAATAGTTTTTTTTATCTTTTTTTTTTTTTTTACGAATAATAGCAAAAAAAAAAAAAAAGAAATGTAAATTTTATTTTAATATTTAAAAAAAAAATGATGCAACTTTAATATATTAGTTTTAATATATTATTTAATTATAATAATTATTACATTATTAAAAATTGATGAGATGGTAATGATGAGATGATTTTAAAAAAAAAGTTATGGGCGTAAAGGTCGTTAGTATTTATTTATTAATTATTATATATATAAAAAATAGAAAGTTTTATCTCCATCTAAAGTCAGAGTTTTTATTTGGCTTTCTACTTGATCTTGTATTTGATCTTTCACCAAAACCACCCATGCCACCCATTCCACCCATTCCACCCATACCACCCATATCAAAACCAAATGGCATACCACCCATGCCACCCATACCACCCATACCACCCATTCCGCCCATGCCACCCATACCGCCAAATGGATGACCACCACCACCACCACCACCAAAGTGGAAGCCACCTCCACCCATGCCACCTTGATTAAAGAATTGAGAAAAGACACTGCCCATATCTTCACCGTCCAATGGCATACCGTTTTCGTCTTGGCCATTATCATATAAGCTTTTCTTCTTTTCGTCACTTAAAACGCTATATGCTTCACCAATATCTTTAAACATTTTTTCAGCTTGAGCTTTTTCTTCATCTGAAAGGGTACTATTTTTATCTGGATGGTATTGAAGTGCTAATTTTCTATAGGCTTTTTTAATTTCGTTATCGGTTGCAGCTTTGTCAACACCAAGGATCTTATAATAATCTTTCTTTAATGATTTCTTTAATGCTATTTTGGCCTCCTTAACATTTCTATGGAGATCACCATTCTCTGGATCTAATGATTGAGCTTTTTCATAATCTCTAACTGCATCATCAAAACTTTCTTGTTTCATATAACATTGTGCTCTTCTAATATATGCTTTGCTGTAGTTTGGATCAATATCAATTGCGCTGGTACAATCTTCAATTGCCTCCTTTAATTTATTTAACTAGATTTTTTAATAAAAAAAAATTTTTGTATTAGTGCATATGTTTTTTTTTAATTTGTTATTTTATTTTAACTTACATTTAAAGCGGCAGCAGCTCTGTTGGCATAAAGTTGGGAATTCATGGTTTCTAATTTTGGATCAATAGTTAAAGCCTCAGTGAATGAATCATAGGCTTGTTGATAATTTTTGGCTACAAAAGCTTCATTACCCTCTTTCTTTTTTGCTTCGAGTGATCTGGTTCTTTTTAAAGCAATTCTACTTTCTGAATAGTCTGGATCGAATGTTAATGAGTTTATAAAATGTTGTTTTGCACCTTCTAAATTGTTTTGGTAGTATAATGCTAAACCTCTAACAAAAAGATATTCTGGATTTCTGCTGTCTTCTTGTAATAAAGAACTATTTTAAATAATAATAATAAAAAATAAATAAATAATTAAATTTTGATTTGATTTTTTTTTTTTTCTTTAAATTTTTACTTACGTCATAATATTTGAGGCTTGGGCATATTGTTTATTCTCAATTAATGCTCTAGCTTTAAAAACAATCATACCATCATTATATTTTGATTGTGAAAGAATATTTTCGATTTGGGATAATGCTAAAGTTGGGTTTTTTGAAATGAATTCTTTGTTTATTGCTTGAACATTTCTAATTAAATTCTCTATATTGTTTTTTTCTTGTAATAATTCATTACTTCTTGGGTCGACTGATAAACCAACAACAACGCTCTTTAAAGCTTTGTCATATTGAGCTAATTGTGCGTATGCTTTTGCTAATCTAGTGTAACCTTTAATAAAATTTTTATCTAAACTAATTGATGTTTCTGAATCTTTGATTGCTTCTTCTATTGATGATTTAGTACCAATTGCTAAATATGTTGCTGATCTATTACCATAATAGGATGCTGGTGGTGGTGTAGTCGAATCTAAAATTAAATTAAAAAAAATAAATCATATAAGTATTACTGAAAAAAAAAATAAAAAAAGTAAAAAAAAATTCTATTTAAAAAATAAATAAAAAATCTTTGTTAAATTTAATAATAAAACATACTAATGGCTTCTGTAAAACATTTTATAGCTTCTGTGTATTCTTTTTGTTTGAAATGTTCATTTCCTCTATTTTTAAATTCTTCTCCTGATACTGTCATTTTTTATATGTATCTTTTAAAAAATAGTTTCTTTTTTTTCAAATTATCCTAAAACTGTAATTTAATCCTAAAAACTAAAATTTATTTGTCTTATGAAGAGTTTAAAACTTTAAAAAAAAAAAAAAAAAAAAATAACAAAAAAAAAAAAAAAAAAAATTTAAAAAAAAAAAAAAATGAAAAATTTAAAAAAAAAAAAAAATAAAAAATAAAAATTATTTTTAAATTATCTAAATCTACATTAATTTTAAATGAAATTTAAATAAAAAATTTTTAAAAAAAATAATATTAATAATTAAAAAATAAACTTTTAATTTGAGGTTTAACTTAAACCATAATATATTAACACTTAAAACCATATTTACCAATTCTAAAATTAAAAAAAATGTTAATTTTAAAAAAAATTATTATCACATTTTCAAAAATTATAATATAATTATGTAAAAAAATGAAAAAGTAAATAATAATAAAAGTAATCAAAAAAAAAAAGAGTTCCCCAAAAAACAAAGTTTAACATTTTTTAAATAATAACAGGACAACAATTAAATTTGTACTCCCTTTTGTAAAAGCTTATCTTAATTAATTAATTTTTTAAAATCAAATGAAAAATCAAAATGGAATTACCCACTCCATCATTTCTTTAATTTTAATACTTTATAATAAAATAAAAAAATAAAAATGAAAATTGGACCAAAATAGAACAACAATAATTTGGATGAAACCATGTCCAAATTATACCATAAAAGGAATATTGTGGTAATCGTTCTATAATATTTCAATTAAATAAAATAATAATTCCAAATTGTTTCTTTTATTAAAAAATGAGAAAAATGTATTAACACTCTAGTTAACTATTTTTATTTTTTTTTTATTTTTTTTTTATTTTTTTTTTATTTTTTTTTAATTTATTATTTTTAATTTTATTAGCTATCCATTATATAAACTTTAATTTAAAACTGTATTTCATTTGATTTTATATTAATAGAATAAAATAAAATAAAATAAAAAAAAACTAATAAAAATAATAATAAAAATATTAACAAACTCAAAAAAAACAAAAAAAAAAAAAAAAAAAAAAAAAAAAAAAAGATTGTAAGTATTTAGTATATATATTTTTTAATATCTTTATGAAAAAAGAAAGATTTCTGTTTGTTTTTTTTGTCTTTTTTTTTTTTTATTATTTTTTTATATCTTTTTTTTATATCTTTTTTATTTTTATTTTGTTTTTTATGTCCTATTATTATAATTTATATTTTTTTTTTAAAATTTTTTTTCTTTTTTTTTAATTTTTTTCGTTTTTTATTTTTTTTTAATTTTTTTTTTTAATTTTTTTTTTTTTTTATCATTATCTTTTTTCACGCATTCTAATTTTTTTCATATAGATTTTTTTTAAGCTTTATTTAACTAAAGTAATAGAAAAGAAAGAAAAAATGTCAACTGTTGATGATTCACAAAATGCCGATAAACAAGTCGAGCAATGGAAAATCAAAAAATTAATTAAAAACTTAGAAGCTGCCAGAGGGTAAGATTAAAATACAACAATAATGATGATGATGATAATGATGATTCATAACGATAACATATAGCAATAACCAACAATTATATATCAATAAAAAAATTCAAATTTAGAAGTTGGTTTAAAGAATAAATATTAATTTATTATTTTAAAAATTAAATTATAATAGTAATGGTACATCAATGATTTCATTAATTATTCGTCCAGGTGATCAAATTGCTAAAATTAATAAAATGCTTGCTGAAGAATATGGTACAGCCTCAAACATTAAATCAAGAGTTAATAGATTATCAGTTTTAGGTGCTATTACATCAGCCCAACAAAGATTAAAATTATACACAAAAGTTCCAGATAATGGTTTAGTCATTTATTGTGGTACAATGGTTACAGATGAAGGTAAAGAAAAGCCAGTCAGAATTGACATTGAACCATTCAAACCAATCAACACTTCATTATATTTATGTGATAATAAATTCCACACTGCTCCACTTGGTGAGCTCTTAGAGTCCGATGAAAAATTCGGTTTCATCGTTGTTGATGGTAATGGTGCCCTTTTTGGTTTACTCTGTGGTTCAACTAGAAATGTTCTTCATAGAATTACTGTCGATCTTCCAAAGAAGCATGGTCGTGGTGGTCAATCAGCTCTTCGTTTCGCTCGTCTTCGTATGGAAAAACGTCACAATTACGTCCGTAAGGTTTCAGAACTTGCTACTCAATTCTATATCACCAATGATAAACCAAATGTTTCAGGTTTAATTTTAGCTGGTTCAGCTGATTTCAAGACTGAACTTGGTACCTCAGATATGTTTGATCAACGTCTTCGTGATAAAATCATTAAAATTGTTGATGTTTCATATGGTGGTGATAATGGTTTCAATCAAGCTATCGAGTTATCAACTGAAGTTCTTTCATCAGTTAAATTCATTCAAGAAAAGAAATTAATTTCACAATTCTTCGAAGAAATTGCTCAAGATACTGGTAAATATTGTTTTGGTATTGCTGATACCCTCAAAGCTCTTGAATTAGGTGCTGCTCACACTCTTATCGTTTGGGAAGCTCTTGAAACCGTTCGTTACCTCCTTCGTTTACCAAGTGGTGAAGAAAAAGTCATCTTCTTAAATAAAGATCAAACTAAAGATCCATCCGTCTTCAAAGATAAAGAATCTGGTCAAGATTACGAAATTGCCGAAGAAATGCCAATCGTTGAATGGTTTGCTAACAACTACAAAAACTTTGGTGCTACTCTCGAATTCGTTTCCAACAAATCTCAAGAAGGTTCACAATTCTGTAAAGGTTTTGGTGGTCTCGGTGGTCTTTTACGTTACCAAGTTGACTTTGCCACCCTCAATGATTATGATAATATCGAAGAGAACGAATACGATAGTAGTGATTCAGACTTTTGACTGAACTCACAAACAACCAACAACAGAGATGGTGCTGGTTTGGATAGTGATCAAGGTTGCCCCTCCTTCCACAATAGCATTATCTATCAACAAGAACAACAACAAAAAAATCAAAAAAAAATTAAAAAAAATGAAAAAATAACTTTAAAAAAAACAAAATTGACAACAACTTCTTCAACAACAACAACAACAACAACTACAACTACATCAACATTACCATTGAATAATTTTGAAAACAATAATAACAGTAATAGTCTATCATTATTATCATCAGCAACAACATTATTAACCAATTCTAATTTTGTAAATTCCTTCCCTTTGGATGAAATTAATAATAATTATTTTGATGATATCAACAGTAGTGATAATACTATTACTAAAAGAAATGAAAAAAAGATGGATATGAAGGTAGGGGCTTAAACTCTATAAAAGTACAAAAAAAAAATAAATGGTTCTGTTCGTTATAGTTGTCACTCTTAATATTTTATTTATTATTTTTAGTTTTTATTTTTTTTTTATTTTGTTACTTTTTATTATTATGAATTATTTTAAAAATTCACCCTTTTTTTGTCTTTTTTTTCAAAAAATGACAAAAAGGATGTATTGAATATGTAAATATATAATATTAATTTATTAGTATAATATTTCGATGTTCAAACATTTAAACTTTACTATTAAATGCAGAACATTTTTAAGTGAAAATTTTATGGAGAATAATTGAGTATACTCAGAGAAAACATTTGAACCATTTTGGGAGAAGACACAACAATTCTCAACAAAAATGATAAAATATGAAGAATAAAAAAGTGTGGTTCAAGTTGACCATAACAATAAATTCTTTTTACAAATCTCTCTGAGGTATCTTCAACAAAAGCAAGAAAGTTATTGACAGATAACCTAGTTTTCATGACCAGTAAAATAATCTATCAATGATTCAAAAATAGCTTTAGCAAAAATCAATTAATTTAACTAATTAAATTGATAACGATAATTTTCATAAAGAACAAGTATTAACGTATTTTGTTGAAAGTTGGGTAGATAGATGGTTCTCTTTTATGAATATAACCTGATCCAACTTTCAACAAAAACGAATCATGTCATTATTTTTCTGGTGCACCTAATCAATCTAACAAAGGCAACTCTATTTTATCTTTAGGTAAAACATTTCAACCATAAGGTTTCAATAAATGGATTTACCTCCACCCTCTAATCAAATCAAAACTTCAAATTCTTGGTCTATAATAGAAATAGAGAATCTATCAAAAAATGCATAAAGTAGGAGAATTCGAAATTTAATAAAATATTTGATAATAATATACAATTCTCAGAAGCAATAAAAATAATAATAATAATAAAAAAATTTATTAAGAAAAAGTTTAGATACATTGTTTATTAAAAAAAAATTATAATGCTATAAAGTGTTGGGGTTTAAACTGTATTTTCTAAACCATCAAAATAAGGATGTTTAAGGGCTTGTTGAGCAGTAATTCTTTGGTTTGGATCATATTGTAACATTTTCTAAAATTATCATTATTATGTGTTATAAAGGAATAATAGCGTTAATAAATTATTTGTTTTTTTAAAACTAAACTAAAAAAATACTACTTACAGAAAGTAAATTTAAACCTTTTTCATCAAGACCATGAACAATTGAGGCCAAATTATGTGCTGGGTGAACTGGGAAGTCAGGTTTGTATTCTGGTAATTCAGTAATAGTTGGCCATGATTCTTCAGTTGGGGTACCTAAGATTTTGAAAATTCTAAATAATTGGTCACTAGTACCAGAACCTGGGAATAATGGTCTACCTGATGCCATCTCTGCAAAAATACAACCAGCTGACCAAATATCAATTGGTGTTGAATATTTTCTTGAACCCATTAAAACATCTGGGGCTCTGTACCAAAGAGTAACTACTTCATGTGAATAGGTTCTAACTGGAATACCAAATGCTCTAGCTAAACCAAAATCTGCAAGTTTTAACTCTCCTTTCTAAAATAAAGTTAATAATAAAATAGTTGGTGGTGGTGGTTAGTAATGATGTATATTGGCTTTTTTTTTAAAAAAACTAAAATAATTACTCTGTTGATTAAAAGATTCTGAGGTTTTAAATCTCTGTGTAATACTCTATGATCATGACAAAAAGCTACACCTTTTAATAATTGATACATGAATGATTTAATGGTTGCTTTTGAAATTTCTCCACCACATTCATCTAAATATTTCTTTAAATCTTGATCTAAATATTCGAATACTAATGTAAGTTTTCTTTCCGTATGAATAACATCGTGTAATCTTACTATATTTGGATGTTTTAATTCTTTTTTATAAATGAAAATATATTATTAATAAACAAAGAAATATATTAATTATTGATTTTATTGTATAGTTACCTTTTAATAAAGATATTTCTCTAATAGCTGTACATGGAACACCTTCATCTTCAGAATCCAATCTTATTCTTTTAAGAGCCACAATTTCACCTGTTTCACGATTTTTTGCTTTATATACAATACCGTATGTACCTTCACCAAGCTTTTCAATTTTAGCGTATTTTTCCATTTTATATATTTATTTTTATTTAAATTATTATTGTTGTTTTTATTTTTTTAATTTTGATTAAATATTTGAGTTTAAATTTCTATTAAAACTAATATTATCGGATAATATTGTTGGTTATTTTTATTTGTTTTTGTTTGTGTTGATAATAGTATATACAATTTAATCTAAATTTTAATAAAAGTATAAAGTTAGTTTTGTTCTTTTTTTAATTATTATTATAATTATTATGATTATAATAATTGTTATTATTATTTTTATTACTATATAAAAAAAACTACTATAAATAATATACAATAAATAATGATATGATAAAAAATTTAAGAAAAAAAAAAAAAAGTTAAAAAATAATTAATAAAAAAAATTTAAAAAATAAAAAAAAAAATAAATAATAATTCAATTAAAAAAAATAATAATTTGTGTGTAGTATATATTATATTGTATGTATACTTTTTAAAGTGGCTGATCAGGTTTGATGTTTAATAAATTTTAAATTAAAATAATAAAAAAAAAAAAATAATTAATAAAATTAAAAAAAAATTAAAAAAAAAAAAAAAAAAAAAAAAAAAAAATTTTAAAATTTTTTACATACAAACAAAAATTAAAAAAAAATTAAAATAATTTATTTATATTTATTAAATATGAAAATATAAAAATAAATTGAATAAATTAAAAAAATTAAAAAAATTAATATGAAAATAATAATAATATTTTAGTTTATATTTATTAAATCTTTTTGTGTGTATTTAATTCGTGTATATTTATTTAAAGTGTGTATGTGTATGTGTGTGTTGAATTTTTTTTAATTTTTATTCCGTTTAAAAAAAAAAAAAAAAAAATTAACACACAACAATTTGTAACTACAATTATTATTATTATTATTATTATTGTGTGAATTATTATTATCAATCGTTGATAGGTTATTAATAGTTGTTTTTCAAAATTGTTCTAGAAAGTTTTATATAACAAAACTAGTTGTCAAATTTTTACCTTTAAAAAAAATTACTATTATTATAATTACCCAAAATGTAAAAAAAAAAAAAATCACATTTTTGGTTGTAAGGTGATTAAAATATATTTTTTAAGAAAATTAAAAAAAAAAAAAAAATAAAAAAAATAGTTTTAAGTTTTATAATAATACAAAATTTTATTATAAATATATAGATATATATTTTTTTTATTAAAATATTCATACATATTTCTTTTTCCTTTCTATTTTCTTTTCTTCTTTCCTTTTCTTTTTTTCCTTCTGTTACATATTTCGAAAAATGATCAAAAAAAAAAATTGATTAAATTAAATTTTGGTATTTGCAAGTAAATGTAAAAGATCTTGGCATATTAATTTCACTTTATCGTCTGCTTGTTGAAAATTGAATGATTTACCACTTTCAAAATCCATTTGTGTAAAAAATGCTAAAATCTATGATTAATTGTATAAAAAAAATCGGGTTAAAATTTGACACGTTTTTACTATTATTAATAATAAATTTAAACATACTGAATCTCTAACTATATAAAATGAAAACATATGTTGATCGCCTCTAATATGAACATGTGAAACGTCATCTTTTACTTGTAATGTTGCGCCAAATGAAACTGCATAGGTTTTTAATTGATGAATTGTATTTGAAAGTTCTTTTTGTCCTAAATTATTTTGAGAGGTTTCGACTCTAAAGTGAACAGTGTAATAATATGGAAGAGGGGTTAGTTTATGATCTTTTTAATAAAAATTTGAAGAGAAATGATACAAACATTATTTCACCATTTTTATCAATAATCAAAGAGCTTGTGGTGTTGGGAAATAATTGCTGAACCTCTTTTAATTTAACTTGAACCTGTTTCATTAGTTTTGGGGCAATAGCTGCATTACTTCTGTTACAGTTGGTCATTTTATTATTTAAAATATATATAAATGTTTATTGAATATTATGTTTGTGGGTATGAATATATATTTGGATTATTTTGTTTTTTTAAATGTATAGTTGTTTTTTATAGTAATAATAATGTATTATAAATCTATAAAAATTTGTATTGTATGTTATAAACTTTAATGATAGTATAAATTTACAAAAAATTAAAATTTAAAAAAAATAAAAAAAAATTATAAAAAAAAAAACATTTTTTTATTTTTTATTTTTTTTTATTTTTAAAATAATAATTAACAATAATTGTTTTATTTATATAGTTTATATCATACTATTTTTGAATCTTAGATTCAAATTTATTAAAAAATAAAGAAAAAGATAAACAATGTTTCTATTTTTAAATAAATAATTAATTTTCTTAATAATCAATAGATTAAAATTTAAATTTTATTTTTTATAATTAAAAGTTTCTAAATTTAGAATAAAATAATAGTTTACTATATTTTCAGTTAATTTTTTATTACATTAAGGTAATTATTTTTAATATGGGTTTTTCATACAATAAAAATATATTTTTACTAAAATTTTTATTATATTAAATAATTTAACAAATAATGAACAACGAAGATTTTCAATTCGAAATAAATAGTGATGATTTTAAAACACTTGAAAACCTTAATAGCCAGCTAAGCAGCAACGATGACCAATTAATAAATTTTCAACCATCGCCAAGTTTTTTTGAAGATATTCATAGCGACATCAAAAGAAATGGATTTCAAATCGAAAACTCACCAACAATATCATTCAATACACAGGAAAAAGAATATGAGACTATAGAAATCTTATCATCAAATGAAGAATCAAAAGAAAACAAAACCAATAATAACAATACATTACATCATTCACCATCACTTTTATTATCCTTTACATCATTTTCACATGTTTTTGGTATGGGTAGTAACTATAGTAGTTGCAATTCAAATACAAATAACATCATTAATAGCTACAATGGTAATTGTAATAATTTAAATATAAAAAAAATTGAAATAAATGATATCAATAAACATCACGAAGGTTCAAAATACTTGTCGGCAAATTTAGACGATTTATCGAATTTAGTATCAACATCATCGAAAATTCAAAACAAAAATGTAAACAATATTGGCTATTTTACTCCAAAACAAAAGTTTTATAGCTTGGCATCGTTTGAACTATATAGATCAATCATTTTAAATGGACCTTCTCTTTCAACTCTTTTAGTTAAACCCTCAGCATCATCGTTTATCCAAGTCTCACTACTTTGTATACTAAATTCTATTCAAAATCAAAAAAAGGTATTATGGATCACATCAACAACCAACGACCAACTCCTAACTTCGCTAGTAGAGTATCTAAAAGAACAAGGGTACGGTAGCCAGTTAATTGAAAACTATACAAACCCAGAATCACTACATAGCCTAATTAATAACTCAGATTCAAAATTTTTCTTTATTAAAGATAACAATAGTAATAATAACAATAATAATAATAAAAATTTAAATTTTATTTTTAATTTTGAATTAATAATTTATGACATATATAAATTAGAATTTATACTATCAAATCTAATGGAACAAATTATTAAAGTTTATAATAGTAATAACAATAATAAAGTAAATTCAATTTTAATAATAGCAAATACTCATCCAAATAGTTATTTAGAAATTTATAATCAGTATAAGATCGAATATATACATTCCTATATAGATACAGATTATATTGTTGACACAAAAGAAAAAATCGCCTATAACATACCAATAAACATTGAAAACTTTACTCTAGATATTTTGCAACAATCAAACAATGGAGAATTTCAACATTTAAAATCAAATCAAAAGGAACTATTAAATGAAATAGTACTACGCCTAGTTAATAATGGTATTTTCTCTACATCAGAGCTTGTTAGGTCAAAGATAAATGGATTTGAAAATTCAAGTAAGTATTAAAATAGCAACAATATTGTTGTTATTACTATATGACTTTTCAAAATACTAACAAGTTTTTAGTTTGGTTCAATAAAATTTTTAATCAGATAATTAACTTTAACCACGAAGTAGATGCAGGTATTGGCCAAGATATAGATAAATTAGAAAAACTATGTGAATTTATTAAAAAACAACTAAAGCTTTTTTCTTCAATAAACTTAACCCCACCAAACAATAATAAATTTTTCAAGATATTAATTTTAACAAATGATGACTCGACCATTGATTATATATATATAAAACTTTTAAAAATAAATCAGTTAAAACCATTCAAATCAAAAGACTATCTATGCTCATCATCACCATTCCAAAATCATAACTGCATAATAGTATCAATCGATAATATCAACTATTCAATTATTCTTCCATCGGATTTTTCAATAATAATAGAGTATGACTACTATCAGCCAAATGAAGATAATGATTTATTGATCTCCACATTTTTTAACAACAATACAAGCCCCACAAAACTTATTAAATTAATACCATCACTAAATAATAAAACTATTGAGAAATATTTGGATTTTACAAATAAACTGGAGTTTAATAGAAAAATTCAAATCATAAGGGATTTGTATAATCCCAACCCATCAAAATTTTCAATATCATCCTCTCCATCCTCCTCGTCCTCATCATCATCATCTTTAGACTCAGCACATATAAATCAAACAGCTACAATAAATTTAAAAAAACTATATCAGTTTAAAAAACTAAATAATAATATATTTCAATCAATAAATAGCAATCCAGAAAATAATAATATTAATCATAATAGTAAAAGAGCTAATCAAAATAATGAACTTATCGAAATTTTATTAATTTGCAATGAAAAATTTTTAAACTACAGAGAATTAATTGAAGATTTAAAAACAAACTACAATATCAAATTTATAGAAAGAAGTTTAAATAACAACATAGACCTAATTTTAGACGAAAGAAACTGTATCATAATATTAAATGAAAAGAATAAAACTACGAAAATTCAAATGGTAGAAAATATTTTAAAAGATATAATTGTTGCAACCCTTCAATTCGAAAAATGTTGGATCCTAATAGAATGTGATGATAAAACTCCCTCAACAACATACATACCAACTTTTTTTAACAGTATTTTACAAAGTCTAATTTTAAAATGCAAGATTCTTTTTAAAAGTAATGAGATTCAATTTCTATTTAGCTTTTCACCAATCCAATCATCAAGTTTAATTAGATCAGTCTGTGAAAATATTGCGACCAATAGCACAGTTTGGGGAAATGTAAAGTATAAAGCTATTTTTATTCATTACTGAAATTGTTTAAAACTAACACTTTTTTTATTTTTATAGTCATTAAAAACTTGGGCAGATAGAAAATGGTTACTAGACACAGAATCAATACATGAAAGGTTTTTGTCACTAATTCCAGGTTTCAATCCTTTTATTTCACAACTTTTATTAACATGGAAACCACTAGACTTTTTATTATTTACAAATCATAATCAATTAAAATCAACCTTTCCATGGGTACCAAATAAAACTTGGCTTTTAATGTATAAATTTTTTAATTCAAATAATTTAGAAAATATAAATAATAGTAATATTAATAATAGTAATATTAATAGTAATATCAACAGTAATGGTAATAGCAATAGCAATAGTAATAGTAATAGCAATAGTAATATAAACAGTGTGAATACAAACAATATGAATATCAATAATAAAAACCCTAATAACAAATCAATTGGCTCAAAATCTCTATTAACAGTATCACTTCCAAAAAAACCCCTAAATATTAATACTCTTAAGATTAATAACAATAACAATAACAATAATAATAATGACATTAATAAAAATCTAAACAAAAATGATTCTAATATAGTTATTCCAAAAATAAAAACCCCAACAATTAATAATTTTAAAAAATATTATATTAATAATACAAATAACAATAATAATGCTTTAGGTGATCTTAGTTTTTCCAAACCAATTGTAAAATCATTTTCATCACTACTCGACAAACCCCAACCTGGATTTAAACAAACTTTAATAGATCATTACCTCCAAAAAAATAAAAATAAATAAAAGATATTATTTAAAAAAAAATATTTGTTTACTATAATTTTAATTTATTTACATTATAACTATTTTCTTTAATGGTAAAGCAATAGTCCACACCTGTTATTGGACACTTGAACGATAACTGATGAGAAACCAAACCAATCATTTTACCAAGATCTTGATTCATTTTTCTATAATTTTTGTTACCGCTGTAACTATTTTGTTGATCTAAATCCAGTATTTTTTTGCCTCCATATAATCTATCACCCAGTAATGGATAACCCATTTTACTAAACTGTGCTCTGATTTGATGAGTCCTACCAGTAATTAAGTTAATATCTACAACATAAAACGGAATAGATTTCATTTGTTTTCTATAATCTCCTTTTCCAACCTGTTCAAAATTTATTGGAGTTTGTAATAAATCCAATGATACTTCATCTATATCGATTGGTATTGAGATTTCTTTTTCCTCTACATTTAAAACCTGTAATAAACACTCGTGGTATTTTTCTAGTTTTTCATTTACCATAACTTTAGGTAAAACATTATCTGGGCTCATATAATGTCTATATAACCCTGGATTAATAATATTTTGGTTACTTGACTTTGGTAAAAATGCCTATAATTATATTATAATTATTAATAAAAATATTAATATATATTTATAAAAATAAAAATAATAACATAAATAATTACCTTATAAATTTTCGAAACTTCATTTTTAATTATCATTTTATTAAATTTTTTTAAAAAATCGGGGTCTTTAATTATTACAATCAAACCACGAGTTGGTCCATCAATTCTATGAGGATTATATAACTTGTGTTTCCTATTATCTCTTTTTTCTATATAATCTCCAATTATTGCTGTGATATTACCATGATAATTATCTACAATTGGTCCAACATCTAAACCATGAGGTTTATCTACAATTAAGAAATACTGATTTTCGAAAATGATATATTTGCTTGGGTCCTCACAACGAACATGCTCCATTGAGTAGGGTCTTGGATAAAAAAATACTTTTAAAATTGAATCTTTTGCCAAATCGATATTTGTAAAAATTCTATTGGGGTTTGGGGGTGTGGTTTTGCATTCTGATAATGGTTGACGGTAATATATACAACCTGATTCGATTAAATTTTGAATATACTCCTCTGATGGTTTATTATCGAAATGATTCATTACAGTACTTAAAACTGTACTGTTTCCATTTGCTCTGATATATGTTGCTTGTGCTACTCTAATATATTTTATAATACTATTACATTTATTCATTTATTTAATTTTATAAAAAAAATAATGATTTATGAAAAAAAAAAATAAAAAAAAAAGTTTAGTTTTTAAAAAAATAAAAAATAAAAAAAAAAATAAAAAAAAATTGATTAATAAACGAGTATATTATAACAACGAATTTTATTTAATATAAACTATTTTTATGAAAAGAAAAATGAAATGAATATAAAAGACAATTAAAAATAAAAAATAAAATAATCAGCGAATTTGTATTTTTTTTTAATTACGAATTTATCATTTAAAATTATATTAAATTTTATGTAATGATAATTTAACTTTATTTATATATATTTTATATTTATATATTTATATTTTTAAAATAATGTAGTTTTTGATTTTTCTATATTTTTAGCGGGTATGAAAAATGGTGATCCTGGTGTATTTTCATTTTCTTGACTATTTATAGTTGTTTCTATATTTTGTTCTTGTTCTATATTATTTTTATTATTATTGTTCTTTTTTGATTTAAATAAAAATGAAAAGAATCCTTTTGAACTCTCTGTCTTTTTATTTGCCTGATTGTTATTTTGTTCAAACATATTTTTATTATTTTTTAAAAGATTTGCATAAGCTTTAGCTTCATAGTATTCCATTTTCGAAATTAAATAAAAAAAATTCTCGGATTATTTATAGGAATTTTTTAGATGAATTTTATATTATCGAATTTATTATTGATTTTATTTAAATTATTTAAATTATTTTAAATTTAATTTAATTTATAATTTAATTAATTGTTTTTTTAGATCTTTATTTTTTAATTTTTTTTTTTTTATAGATAATTTATATTTTTATTTTTTTAATTATTTTTTAAAATATATAGATATTAATATATTATTTAATAATTAATTTAATCGAAAGTTGTTTATAAAAAAAAATAAACAAAAAAAAAAATTTATTATTTATACGATTTTTTTTTAAACAAGAATATTGAAAAATATCACGGCGAATCAATAAAGATTAAGGGAAAAAGAAAAGAATTTTTATTTCCGACCCACCAAATAATTATTATTTTTTTTTTTTTTTAATTTTTTTTTTTATATAGAGAATTAATTGGTTCTTTAAGATTAAATACCAATTTAGTTTATAATTAATTGTGAGAAAAAATAAAGTTTAAAATTGTTTAATTTAAAAAAATAATTAAAATTAAATTAAATTAAATTATTAAATGGAGTGTTTTCTTGATTTTTTCACTATTTAAAAATTAAAACTAATGAGTATATAAATAGAAAATATTAATAATTTATCAAATAACTTTTGATAAATTAATATTGATTGTTTACGTTACTCTGCCAAAAAGTCGTAAAAATATAATTTTTTTTTTCTATTTTTTTTTTATTTTTTTTATTTTTTTTTTATTTTTTTTTTTTTTTCAATTTTTTTTTGGCACCTAGCATCAAAATTTTTTTTTATTTTAAAATTTTTCTTTTTGATCCTTTTCGTTAATACATACAGAGAATCAGTATAATTCAACAAAAATGAACTCCTCATTACAAATGTCAAAAAAAAGAAAATTCGTCTTAGACGGTGTTTTCCACGCTGAATTAAACGAATTATTCACCCGTGAATTCAACAAAGACGAAGGTTACTCAGGTGTTGAATTAAAAACCTCACCAGGTTTAACTGAAATCATCATCCGTGCCAGCAAAACCCAAGCTGTCGTTGGTCCAAATGCCCGTCGTATCCAAGAACTCTGCTCATTAGTTCAAAAGAGATTCAACTTCAAAGAAGGTACCGTTGTCCTCTTTGCTGAAAAAATTTTAAACCGTGGTTTATGCGCTGTTGCTCAAGCTGAATCACTCAAATTAAAATTATTAGCTGGTCTCCCAGTCCGTAAAGCTTGTTACGCCATCGTTCACCAAATTATGACCCGTGGTGCTAAAGGTTGTGAAGTTATCGTCTCTGGTAAATTAAGAGCCCAAAGAGCCAAATCAATGAAATTCCGTGACGGTTACATGATCAAATCTGGTCAACCATCAAAAGACTTTGTTGACTTTGCTTGCAGACACGTTTTATTACGTCAAGGTACCCTTGGTGTTAAAGTCGCTATTATGTTACCATACGACGAATCAGGTAAAATCCACGGTGCTTGCAAAATCCCACAACCAGATATTGTTTTAATCAAGAGCAACTAAACAATTTTCTAAACTATCTATTCTCGTTAAATAAACAATAAAAATAGATTTTAACCCCTAAAAAAAAATTATCCTCTCTTATTGTTCCTTTTTTTTATTTATTAAACAATTCAAATAATATATCGATAATGAATTTATTCAGTTTTAAAAAAGAAATTATTTTAAAAGTATATTTATTTAAACTAGTTTTCATTTTTTTTTTCTTTTATAAATTTTTCGTGATTCATTTTAAAATTGTTATATATTGTATCGGCTTCTTCTTGATTATTTATATTTTTGTATAAAAATGATTTTAAACGTTTCCAAAACTCTTCTTCTTCTTTATTTACGCTAGATGTTGTTGTGGTGGTAGTAGTTGATGTATTTCTATTTAAACCACCCATAATATTGTTGAAAATTGAAAATAAGTTTGGTTGTTGTTGTGGTTGTGATTGCTATAAAATTGGTAATAATATTAATGCCATGCTATTAATATAAATAAAAAAATATTTATTTATGAAATATTTACTGTTTCTGAATTTGTTTGATTTTCATTTCTGAGTGGAAATTGATTTAAAAGTTTAAAAAATTCTTCATCATTCTATAGCAATATGAGAAATAAAGTTGTTAGTATCATGAATATATACTAATTTATAACATTGAAATGTTGAAGTACCATTTTATTATTGTGTATCTTGTTAAAAATATATATATATTTTAATTTAATAAAACAAAAAAAAAAAAAAAAAAATTTTAAAAATAAAAAAAAAAATTTAAATTTGAAAAAAAAAAAAAAAAAAAAATAAAAAATAAAAATAAAAAAGGAATAAATAAAAAAAATACAAATAGAAATAAACGAAAAATAAAGTAAAAAAGGAAATTAAAAATATAGAAATGAAAAAAAAAAAAGAAATAAAATAATACAAGATATATATTGAGGTTTTTTTTTTTTAAAATTGTTTTTTATTTTATTTAAAATTCTCATTTATTTAATCAACTATAATTTAAGAGTGGGGTGTAATTCATATGCAAGAAATCATGACCTATAATAAAAAGGAAAAAAAAGATTAGTATTATATTTTATTTTTTTTATAATTTATAAAAAAAAATAAAAAAAGGTTTATTTATAATGAATCAGACGTTTTAATAGGATCTACATGGTTTTATGGATGTGCCCACCCTTTAAGATCTCAAAGATTAAAATTCTTTCTTTCATCATTTAAATTATAATATTCCTTTTTTCTATTTCTTTTTTTGGGGTAATAATATTTCTTTTTACATACACTTTTGGTTTTGCGTGATTAAAAAAAAAAAAAAAAAATTTCGTTTTTATAAAAAAAAAATAAAATAAAGCAAAATAAAAAAAAAAAAAAAAAAAAAAAAATAAAAAAACCAAAATGGTAATGTTACTTTTGATGGTTTTTAATTTTTGAATATACAAGACCTATATTTTTTTATTGAGACACTGATAGGGCCAGTTTTATCATTTTATCTAATTCTTCATCTCCTTCTAAAATTTTTGATAATTGTGATGTTTCAAAACCTGTTCTCTGATCTTTAACTCTTTCTTGAGGATGCATGGTATAACTTCTAACGATATTACCACTAGCAAAACCATTGGTACCCAATTCATCCCTAAATTTCTTTTCTTTTTCATTTCTTTAATTTTTATAAAAAAGAAAAATATTAGTATTATTAATAATAATAAAAAATAATTATTATTACTTACTTTATACTTAAATAGTGTCTAAAAATTTTAGTTTTTAATAAATCCAAGCCAATGGCTTTGTTTTGATGTTGTGATCTTTCAGATGAACAAAACACAGATATATTTGTTGGTATATGTACAATTCTAACGGCCGATTCGGTTGTGTTTACATGTTGGCCACCTGCTCCTGATGAACGAGTGAATTCGATTTTTAAATCATTTGGTTTTAAATCTACATTGATGGAGTTGTCAGAGCTTGGATATACCACAACTGACGCAAAAGATGTATGTCTTTTAAAGTCTGGGCTAAAAGGTGATATTCTAATTAATTTGTGGATACCCATTTCAGTTCTCAACCAACCATATGCATTCTTTCCATCTATTTTTAAAGTTGCACGTCTTAAACCAAATTCACCCGGTATTGATTCAATTATAGATACTTGAAAACCTTTTCTTTCTGCCCAGTTAATATACATTTTATGAATTATTTCAGTCCAATCCATTGAATCTGCACCACCCACACCAGCATGCACCTCTATAAAACAACTGTTATCATCTTCCTCACCTATCATTAAAACATTGATCTCTAAATCTGTACATATACTATATAATGAATTTAATAAATTTCTTGATTCATTTAACATTTCTTGATCACCTTCTTTTTTAGACATTTCGACAATCTCTTGATAATCTTTAAAACTATTATTCAAACTATTAAATTCATCTATAACTGCCTTTAAACTATTATATTCCTTTATATCTTTAATGTCTATATTATTATTACTTGATAACAACTCTTCAAACTTCATATCTTGGAATCTTTTGAATTTTATTTTATTTTTTAAATAATACTGACTATTATTTAATAGCTCTATGATTCTTTGTGTTTCTTTTTCTTTATAGTTTATATCTTGCACTGAACCATTTGCTATATTACAAAAAAATAATTTACTATAGCAGTTTTTAAAATTTATATTATTATTATTAAAACTATACACATTTTTATTGATACATCTAAATATATTTAAATTTTTAAACATAATATTATTTTGTTATTCTTTTCTTGTTTATTATTGCTGTTGTTTAATTCTATCGGTTTATAAAAAATGAAAAAATTAAAATTCACAAAAATAAAAAAATTATTTTTTTATTTTTTTTTTTTTTTTAAAAAAATATAAATAAATATAATTATTTAATTAAACAATTAATAAAAATAATAAAAAAAGTTCAAAAAATATAATTTTAGCTCTCGATTTATAGGATTATAAATTTTTGAAAAACCAAAATTATTTATGAAACTTTTTTTTTATTATTTTTGTTATTTTATTATTATTATTACCGAAATTGATTTTTTTTTTTTAAAAAAAAAAGTTTTATATTATTATAGTTTTATTTTTAAATTATTATTATTATTATTATTATTTAACAAAAAGATTATTTTATAAAATTTGACATTTAATTTAGTTTAATTTTTTTTGTTGTTTTTTTGAAAAAACTCTACGGAAACATTCACCAAAGATTTCTAAGAGAATTAATGGACCAACATCTGGACGTAAGAACCAAGTCTTTGGTTTCATACCAGTCATAACAGCAGCCCATTCAGCAAGGAAACGTGAACCTCTCTTTTCGATTAAAGAAGCAGCAGCATCTAAAACGATTGGGAATCTGTATAATAAAAGTGACATGGTCATGGACATGCTGAATTCGTGACCGAATCTGGCCATCCAGAGGTCTTGATATCTCTTGAGTGATTGGTGTGATAAATCACGTTCGTTGAAAGCTTGGATTAAAGCTTGAGCGGCTAATCTTGAACCTTCCATGGCGTATTGGATACCTTCACCAGTTAATGGATCGATGAAACCGGCAGCATCACCAACAATTAATAAATGATCATCATATGATTTTTTAATACCACCGAGACGGAGTGGGGCGGCTTTCATACGTTCAATATCTGGGTTTGGACCAAGAGCAGCTGAAATGAATGGATCTTCAGTCATGTATTGGTGGTGATATTTGGATAAATCGTCGTTGGTAACTTTACCACCTGGAATGATATAAGCTAAATAGTTGAGTTCATCACGAGCTTCACGAATGATAGCGCAATAACCTGGTAAGAGTGATGGTGGGTAGAAAACAACACCATCATATCTGAAAGTGGTATTGTTTTTAACGTAGGCTCTTGAGCAAATACCGTTTGGTTCGGTGTGAACGTAACCTAATTGACGGGCAGCGGCGGATGGTGAACCATCAGCACAGACTAAAACACGAGCTTTGTAGGTAATTTTCTTTTCTTCGTTGTTGCTATCGAAACAGTTGATGGTCCAGACACCAGTTGAGGCATCAAAAGTGGCTGATTGGACGGTGGTGTTTTCTTTTAAGTCAGCACCCATACGTTTGGCAGCTTTGGCAACTTTTTCATCTAAAACGATACGTTTGACGGCAATAACAGCACCTCTGTTGTATTTGGCATCACGTTTTAATTCTTTGGCAGAGTTACCAATGAATGAGTTACCATTTGGTGAAACAAAACCACCATTTTGGGCAAAATGACCTAAATCTTCATCAACGAGTTCTTTCATGACACCCATTTCACGGAGAATATCTTGAGCCATAGTAGCAACGGCATCACCGCAGAATTTATCTCTTGGGAATTCTTTCTTTTCTAATAAGGCAACTTTTCTACCTTCTCTGGCTAAATAATAACCTAAGACTGAACCTGATGGACCAGCACCAATGGTGGCAACATCATAGATTTCTTCATCATCGAATGAAAGATTCTAATTATTGTTTGAAAAAAAAAAAATTAATAATTTTGGTTATAATAATAAATCAAATTTTTTTTTTTAATTATGTATAAATTAAAAAATTGTTTTCGATTTTTTTTTTTTTTTCAAATTTTAATACATACTGGGATGGCATCATAGTTGTATCTTTTACCTTCACTTTTGCAAGCTTTGATGAGAGTGGCAGCGGCAACAACACCTAAACCTAAACCAGCAGCGGTGGCAATACCCTGTTGATTTAATAATAAATAAATTAGTTATTTGATTTCGTTTTTACATTTTTTAACCATTTTTATCGTTTTCCCGGTTTATTTATATGTTTATACAAATATATAAATTATGTGTTTTTTTTTTTTTAATTATTTACCTTGTGTTCTTTAACAAATTTGTTTTCTAAAACTTTGCTGACAACAACATTGTTTTGTAATTGTTGGTTAATGTTTGAGAGAGTATTCTTTAAGAATTTAGAGTCCATTATATTTAGTGTGAATATACCTAAGAGGCTGAATCAAAAAAAATTAAAAAAAAAAAAAAAAAAACTAGAAAGCGAAAAAAAAAAAAATTTAAAAATTTAAAAAAAAAAATAAAAAAAAATTCTTTTTTTTTTCACTCATAGCACATACTAAAATCACCTAGTAATATTGGTGAATTCCTTTCTCTCATAGATTTTTTTATGTGAAAAGAAATTTTTGATTACAAAAAAATCTTTTTTTTTTTTTTTTGATTATTTATTTTTTTTTTTATTTTTTTTTGTATTATTATCCAACCATATTTGAAATATCGTTTTTTTTTTCAAAAGGATGCATAGTTCATATTACCGCCATCTTATATTCAAAGAAAAAAAAATATTATTTATATATAATCAAAAAAATTATTTATATATTTATTTTTTTATATATTTATATATTTATATATTTATATTTACATAACTAAAATTTTTTATTTTTATTTTTTTTTATTAATTTTTTATTTTTTTGTTTTTGTTTTTGTTTTTGTTTTTGTTTTTGTTTTTGTTTTTGTTTTTGGAAATGATTGATCTATTTATTATTGGGTGGTAAAATTGGATTTAAATAGTTATTTAGGTTTGTATTGACCATTTGTAGGGTATTGTAACTTTGTATTATCTGATTTTGAATTGATTGACGCTTATTTTTATATTCAAAATCTAAAAGTGATAGTTCGTTTTGAAGTGAAAATATTTGTTGAGAACATTCTGTTTGGTAATGTTGGAGTAATTTGAAATCCAAGATTTGTTTTTGTGCTTCTTCTTGTAATTCTGCCGTTAATTTTTTATTATAGTTTTGCATTGGGTTTGATTGCTTTTTAAATTGTAATGATTTTTTTGATTGTGATGCTCCATCTGGTTCATCTTCTTCATTTTCTTCATCTTCGCTATCATCTTGGTCTGATGTACTACTTGAGTCATCTCCGGGAATTAATGTTTTTTTGATTTTTTTTAAATAGTCCAACGAC